AGCTCATTTAAGATGGACTGAGCCGTGGAAAAGTGTCCTGTGGTCAGATGAATCAAAATTTGAAATTCTTTTTGGAAATAATGGACACTGTGTCCTCCAGACAAAAGACCACTCCGCTTGTTTTTAGCACACAGTTCAAAAGCCAGTATTCATGATGGTATGGGGGAGCATTAGTGCACATGGCATAGGTGTCTTCCACATCTGTGAAGGCACCATTAATGCTTAACGAAATATACAGGTTTTGGCAACATACGCTGCCATCCAGACAGCGTCTCTTTCAGGGAAGGCCTTGCATATTTCAGCCAGATAATGCTAAACGACATACTGCATCCCTCACAACAGCATGGCTTCGCAGAAGAAGAGTCCGGTGCTGAACTGGCCTGCCTGCAGTCCAGACCTTTCACCAATAGAAAACATTTGGCGCATCATTAAATGAAAAATCCAGCAAAGAAGACCCAGGACTGTTGATCAACTGGAATCCTACATCAGACAAGAATGGGACAACATTCCTTTCCCAAAATTTCAGCAATTGGTCTCCTCACTTCCCAGACATTTACAGGCTGTTGTTAAAAGAAGAGGGGATGCTACACAGTGGTAGACATGGCCCTGTCCCAACTTTTTTGAGATGCGTTGCTGCCATCATTTTCTAAACGAGTTAATGTTTTTCATGAAATGGTAAAATGTGTCACTTTCAACATCTGAAATGTGTTCTGTGTTCTATTGTGAATAAAATATGGGTCTATGAGATTTGCAAATCATTGCATTCTGTTTTTATTTACATTTATTTACATTTTACACAGCATCCCAACTTTTTAGGAATTGGGGTTGTACTATAAAATGGTCATTTAAAAAAAAACAGGCCAAAAAACAAATCAGTCAGATTGCGGTAACACTTTATTTTAAGGCTTGCTTCTTAATGATTACTTAATTATTAGCAAGCAATTAATAATACCTTAGCGAATAAATATATTCATAACCAGGCTTAGAAATTTGGTATACATGCATTTAAATGACATGTTAATAATGTCTTCTAGAAATGAGTTGTTAAGTACTGTCTAATTAATTGATTAGACAATAGTTAGACATAATTGTAATCTATCAGTTGCAAGCCTTCTTAATGCATTAATGTGAAATGTTAGTCAAGGAGTAAAAAACAGGTAATAATTATCTGAATTTACAACGACATAACCTGTTAGAAAATGATGCTAAATGGCCACATTTTTCCTACATGTTACGTGTTCTAAATGTGTATGTCTTGTTAATCAGAACTCAAACAACTGCCAACTAACTTTACAGTAGTGGCCACTGTGTTTTAAACTGTAATAATAAATTGCTGATGCCTGTAACACATACATAGGAAATTTAAGAGCACTTGAGCTAAAAACTGCAAAGTACCTGAAGAAAGCAATTGTCAGCCTTGTAGTACAATGTTAGTTAAATACAAGTTCACAGAACTTCTTTAGGAGAATGGCCCAAAGCCAGCCGTATGATCCAGAAGACTGTTGAAGGAGGAGCTTACAAATGTTTAGAAACAACTTTAAAATAGTGTGCAAATGATAACTTAGAAGTGGAACATATTACTTAGTAATATGAACTTGTGTTTAAGTGAGTTCTGATTCACAGGACACACAAACCATATTCAGATAACAGAACATGAATGAGTACACTTGTAACTGAAAAGTGACCAACATTTAATAACTAAATGATAGAACATATGAATACAATTATACGCTGATTATAAATATGGTTATATTTACTAGGGTATTATTTATTGCTTGCTAATAGTAAATTGTTAAGAGGCAGACCTTAAAATAAAGTGTTACCCAGAAGTGTTATTGTTGATGTAGATGTAGTATTAATTAGCAGACTACCATTTCACTGCTGTCAGGAAAAATCAAACTTGTATCTCTAAAAAAGGTAACTTTACATGAGAAGGAAAAACATCCTTAACTTTTAATGGAAGTTAATGCAATGAGATCTTATTCTAGTTATTTTGAACATTTTCTATTGGACCATCCATCATGAACTTTTGACACAATGTAAAGGACTACAACTGGTGTAGAAAAGTAGAAAAAAGTAAAAAAAAAAAACCTCATGTTTTTTTTTGACAGCGACAATAAATAATATGTCTGTATTATCTGATTATCTGTGAACATACAAACACCAAACTGGAATGGATCATTATCAGCATGAAGGTAGTCAGTTCAGAGCGGGGCAAAAGTACTAGATTGGGACTTAGCTGGTATCTACTATGTTTGTGTAGATGATCTTGTTGTAAGATAATTATTGCCAGAATTGCACCTGGTTAACATGCTTGTCAAGATGTTTTCATTTGAAATTGAACAGCTCTTTATCCTGCCACTCTGTCTAAGCATGGCTTAAAGCCGATGTTATGAAATAGGGTGCTTCTCACTGAATTGCCATAGAGCAGTGCTACTCCACAGACACCGCTGTTCTGTCCAGAATCTAATTATGCTCAGCACTCTCCCTGATGAAATATTAACTCCCTGTGTGTTTTGTACTCCTAAATGCAAACATTAAACCACAGAGGCTCTGAATATTTAACAAAGTGAATATTTAACTAAGCGGAATATTAAGCAGCGTGTGTACAGGGACCAAGTGTGCATATAGGTATAGATTTGAGGGGGTGTGTGTGTGAGTGTCTGGACTAAGCATAATCAAAAGCATGCAGGTAGAGATGTAGCGATTGATTGGCTATGTATTGGTATCAGCTGCTTGCATATTTGGGCTAAAAATCGGCCGATACCGATACATAGCCAGTCGATCAATTTCTTTAACTTAGCTGGTCATGAGAGAGCTGGTCAGCAACATAAAAAACCTGAGCCCTATTTAAGGATTGCTGCAAACCTGCATGAGGCTCCTTGGTCATAGGATTCTGCAGTTCCTCGTTCAAACAATGGACTTTTGACAAGGGTTAAAGGCCTATTCAAACAGAGTCCAATTTTTATGGATGAAAAAATGCACGTCAAGTTCTGAAAACAAACACATGTATATTTATGCCATCTTTCATACCAAGTCCAAAACTGATGGACTGCGACGCTGTGTAAATTTTTAATCGGAGCCTGCTCTATTTTCTGCATTGTAAGGATGCATTCAAATCATGCTATGTTGTCATGGTTTCAGCCCAAACAAGTGTAGGTCTGGATGATTGCAGAACTCAGAGCAGTGCACAAAAGTTACAACTAGCAAACACTGATTGGTATCGGCTATCGGCCAATCGTGCTGAAAGACAATCAGTATCGGCCCCAAAAACATTGATCAGTCCATTGCTACATACGTAGTGTGCGTTTGAGAAGTGTGTCTAAGTCTGTGTGGGGGGTATGCTAGATTTGTAGGAGTATGTTGTTATCCATATCCAAGAAGAACAATAAAGACATCTGAACTATGAAATAATGTACATGGAATTATTCAAATATTGGTGTTTTACTAAAAAGAGCTATTTAGACCCACACTACTCATCGCACCTGATTGGCTAAAACACATTAACAAGAAAAGATATTCCACAAGTAAACTTTTAACAAGGCACACAATGATATAATGCATAAGTGTCAACTTCATTTTTTATATTTGGCTTTGAAACAAATTTCAAGCATTTAAGCATGGCCTTAAATCATGTGTTTACGAAAATCTAACAGGTGTGTCCAAACTTTCGATTGTGTGTATGTGTGTGAATGCCAATAATTTTGAAAAACATAAGTTATCCTCTTTGCATTTTTAAAAGATTAAATAGGCCTACATTAAAATATTATAGTACTTTGCAAATCATTTCAGTGGTAATGAGAGAAACTGAGGTTGAAAAGAGACTGTTTCCCTTGTACCAGTCATCACTGACACATTCAAACAGCAGCAGCAACTCAGTTCCTACTGAAAGGACTAACTTCTCAATAACAAAAGCGTTTTTAAGGGATTTTTCATAGTAATGCACAATAAGAACAACTGGACAGTTTATTGCTTTTATTTTGGCAGGTCTGTATTGCAGCTTTATGACGTAAATAACATGAGAGGCAATTGCACTCACACTGTATTTGAATGCTGCTGCTATACCAGATGTCAAAGCATGACTATACATAACTCATTGTGCAAAACAGCCAGTTACCTTTTTATTTTTGATGTAGCACTTCATTTGTTATTTACATAGTCAACTGATTTTAAAATTTAAACATTTAAAATGGCAGTTCGGCCCATTAACCTCTTCAACTCCTTGAGACCACAGGTGGTTCCAAAACGCACTTCGTTATATTCTTCATAACTTTCATATTTCATAAGCTACATTCAAAAGGTGGGTTTCATATGAGAGCTGTAACTGTCTTCTTTCCAGTCAAATAGATGGGTAATGTAATTTTAAACCCTTATAATAGAAGAAGCTGAACTCTGAACAATTTTTTGTCTACTGAAAGTCGACCCATTTTTCACAAATCTGAGCTATAAACTATAAACAGATGGTGTCTCTTCAGTGATCTGCTCTGTAAAAATTATTCTTATAAAATAATACAAAGAGCATGTTCTGTTAATTTGAGGGGAGCTTTCACTACAAAAAAAAACAAAAACAAAACTTACTTTTATTTCATGCAGTTACTGAATAATTTGCCGTACGATTTGGTCATGTAAATTCAGATGGAAAAACCAAAATATACTTAAAGAGCAAATGTTTATATTGCAGATGTGGCTAATACAAAGTTCTGGAAATGTGCTAGTGTTCATTTAGTCAACACAGTGTTGGATTACAAAAAAGGCTAATTAAAATTGGCCTTACAAATTGGCGAATAGTCAATTTGGCTGTGAAGAAATTGGAATCATAATTATTTTTTCAAAATAAAAAATATTTTTTTTTATTTCCTTTTTACTTGTTTTTGATTTTTTTGCACAGGGTGTTTCAGTATCAGCTAAGAATTTAAATTTCAGTGCATCACTATCACTAAGCATAAGGAATTATCACAGTACTGCGGCGTGCTTCAGTGTGTGAGTGAGAGATTGTTCACCTTGAGGTGCCGCCTCCTCCGCTGGAAGCGCAGCAGCTCCTTGTGCTGGCGGGCAATGAAGTTGACGGCGGCGTACTCCAGCAGAGCAGAGAAGACGAACAGGAGGCACACGGCCATCCAGATGTCGATGGCTTTCACATAGGAGACCTGAAGCAGGGTGACAGAGACAGGGTTGGCAGTGCGGAGTGTGTGCATAGAGAAAACATAGCTGTTGAGTCATTCTCTGGCCCACGGTTCACTGGTGAGTCACGCACTCCTCAGCCGAAGGGTTCAAAAGTTGCCAGTTGGGAAACTCGTAAAATAAGCCCATTTTAATCAAAAACCCCCAGAGGCTTTTCCTCAGACAGGGAAGTAGGCAGAAGCATTGTGCTCTTGCCAACCTGATGCAGGGGGCAAAATATTACTGAATAAAACAGATTTTAAAATGAATTATTTTTCCTGATTTTTGTTCATCAGCAAAATATGTATACAGTTGTCATCATTGGCAGTGATACAGTGGGGCAAAAAAAGAAAAAGACATACAGGACATAAATGATTATCCAGTTTCACCTTATGCAACAACCTACCACTGACTACATGCACTGCTTGCGATTCCATAAAATTCAGCAGCAGATGGGAGCGGAGCAGGGATTTTAAACACCCGAAAGACATTACAGCCTTCATTTGATATAATGGCATTTTTGATTTATAGTGCTATCAAGGATTCTTTTGCTGAAGCAAATATTTGCAGTGTACTGGTTCTATTTTTCCCCAAATATACTTTCATTCCTGTTCCAAATGACACCTGCTCATTCAGCAGTCCAGCAGCAGTCCAATCCAACAACAATCCAACAGATTAACCAACCATCCCATTCTACTGGCTGTACTTTCCTTTAGTGAGTACATATGCTTTCTGTGTGCAACTGAACAAGCATCAACAATGAGTGCGCCTTAAAGTAGCTAAATTTACTGAAGTCTTGTGGGACCAGGCATGATTTCTCAATAAGAACGTCTAGAGACAACCATGTTGGCATAAATGTTGGTGGGAGCGCAAACATATTAGGGTGAAAACAAACTTGAGTGTTAAGTTTCTAAATTAATCCAGTGCTTTGTGAACGCAGAACGCCAATGACACGATGGTGTGCTTGTCAACACTGTCCAATGGACATTAAGCCTGTCGTTAGCCTATGGATGTAAAACCCCCCCAAAAACTTACATTAAGCATGAAGATGTGTGTTGCATGTGCAGAGAACACATTAAGTGTGGTAACGTAAACATTACCTCTTGCAAGGAACAAACTGTTACGTTAGCTAAAGATAGCATTTTGCTGTCTGCCTTGTTTTGCTTGTGTGACTGTTGTGTAGAATTGTGTTCTGGATGTTAAAAGACCATTTATTAAAGGGATTTAGGGGGAGCATATCCTTGTTTGTGGCAGATTTCGCCACAATCCATCACCAAAAGTTTAACATTGTCCCCAGACATGTATTCTATTTACAAGATCATGCCTGGCTAGGGCTGAAATACTCACCATTTTAATATCCAATTTGCAATTTGAAAGGGTGCAATTTTCAGATCGCAAAAGCTGCAGTTTTATTTAAGACTACATTATCAACAATGCTGATACATTAATACATTGTCTTAAGAAGTTTTCAGTGGGGAGATTTAACCTAATATAAATAAACTGTAGATGAGTTAGACCTAACAAAAGCAACTAAACACCCATGAGCCAGGTACAACACAACCAAAAATAACTGATAGTCTGGCACATTATGATCAGTTTTGAAGCATCAAGCCAAAAAACAGGCCTCAACTTTATAGAAAATGATTGCAATTTAAATTGGAGTCACTGTATTGCAAAACAATTAGATATATTTACTAAATTCAGTCAGAAGGAGTGCCTGAATTCTTTTGAATATATGGTGAAAACATCTGTGATTGCACGTGTGCAATCATATAGTAAAGACGTGCATGTGTGTGGTTTGTGTTCATAGTGTATACACAGCATTATCCTTATTAGTAATTTGGCAACAGTTATTAATATGCCATGCCAAATGCCAACAAAGCCACTTTAATTTAAATCTGATTATCAGCAGACAGTGATCTGCGTAAACGCTCAGTTTGTTGAAAGCTGTGTCTTCGGCCTATAAAATGGCTCAGCTGCAGGCTTGTCTGTTTGGTGGAGACTCACTTCATTTGATGAGCCAGTGAACACAACATAGGTGGCATTACTGAGAGCATGGTTCATGAGACATCACTCCAGTGATGAGAGAGAGAGAGAGAGAGCTGGCCTGCTGGTGATACACTCCCTCTCTCTCCCAGATGCTCCACATTTACAGCTTATTTCACCTTCATTTACCTGATGCGAGACTGTAATAACACACCTTACAAGATCAGAATTCGAGTCGTACATGAGAACATGAACATTCTCCTAAAAATCTAATAATGTGCATCACTCTCTTGGGTATGGTTGGAAAAGAGGGGGTTGGGGGGCCGGGGGTGAGGAGGGAGAGAGAAAAAGAGCACGAATGAACAGAATCCTGATGAACCAAGGATATACGTGATAAATTTGGTAGGACTAAAGGGGAAGCAGTATAATAAATGCCGCGAGGAAAGGGGCTGAATGCTGCCGTTTCTATCTGCGTCCAGCACCAATGCAGCAAATCAGTGCGTCATCTCTAAATACAGTATGCGTGCACCATCTCTCGTCTCGGGCATGCGTTGATTATTGTGACAGCACAATGGAATAAGAAGCACGCTTCAAATTTTAGAGCAAACAAATCTCCTAATGTCTGCAAACACTGGGGAATAACATACAGGATATAATTATACAACACTGCCAGATCACGCAAAGTTGCAGTTTACGCTCTCAATCCAGGCTGGAGGAGAGAGAGACCATGAGACCGACAGAGAGATTCTTTTAGAAGTCTTTTTCATGTTAAGCATGACAGCATGTGTTAACCATTATCTTCTATAGCATGGGTTTCAACTTAAATCTGTGACGTTCTAGTTAATATGTTACTTAACAAAGGTTCAGATAAACAGACTAATATAAAATGGCAAGGACAATTCATTTGTAATGCTTAAACATGAATAACTGGTTATTAATAAAATAAAATAAGACATTAGTTCACAGAAGAAAAGTTCCTGTCTTTTCACACGGTAAAATAAAATGCAAAATAATAATAATACATTGATTAAAAACTTGCTTTCAGGAGATGCATGAGTGCTCTGATGGACCCTTCATGTTGAGCATTTGGTTTTTTTTTTTTATTTGTATTTAGAACTGAACTTTGTGGATGGGTTAATTTAATGTGATGTTTTGTTTCTCAGTGGTGCTTCACGTTTTAACTTTTGACTCTGAACAGATGAGATCAGTGTTGAACCTGAATTGGGGAGAATCAATGCACACTTCTCTGTTCATTTGTTTTTAAAGTATTTTTTCAAGATCACGGTTCGGACCACTGAAATACTTTGCTAGGTCTACATCTGGACCAAGTTCCACCAGCCGACAACCTCTGTTCTATAGGGACAGTTGCTGGTTTTAATGACATACCGCTGCATAAAACCCAATGATAATCATACAGATTCCAAATGTTAATAATTCCAGTAAATGTAGAGTCTGTAAGTCACGGTGGAAGTAAATAGGCTACTGCATAGCAACACCAGGGCAACATACAGATATATGCAAAAGTTTTAACACAACTAGTTACATTACATGTTTTGTTGATTTTCTAAGTAAAAATAAGTTAAAACATCCTCTACTGGGAACAAACTTAAATATAGTACATACAGTACAAATAGTGTACAATTTTTATTTATTTGCTTATTGTCACACAGTGGAAAAAGCTAAAACAAAATATAAAACCTTTTTTTTCCCACCATGTAAAATTCACCAAAAAACAGTAATTGTGCATTAAAATGTGCTGAAGTGTGTTCTATGTAGAGAATGTGTACTTATTTCTGCTCATAAAATCAATGAAACATTTTGCAAAAAACAAACTTTTGCATAGGCCTGTATGTTTGCATCAATTAGTAATAATTAGTAACAACTGGATTTTTAAATTGTGTTTTTTCTGTTAAAAGATGAACAGTATTAACCTGTGGTAAAATGATTTCAACATTTAAAAGTGCTTTTTCTACATTTTCTTTTATGTTGTAACTGTACTGCAAAAATACTGAAAATTGTGATCAAGTGGGTCAATGATATCATGACGCCCACTATTCTTGTATTTCATCTGAATCATAGTACTGCATAATTAATGGCATGATTGTCTGACTATAGCAAAGTAGTATCAGACACACGGTTCATCTCATTTGATGTTATCTGTTCCGAAAACAGTATGCAGAATCTTCCATAATGTACAAAAAGGTCATTACATGCTGTCGAGGAGTGTGTGAGCAGATTTAATTAGAAAATCAATTCAATTCAATTTCAAGGCTTATAATCAATGTGACAAATACACCACTTGCAGGTGCTAAGAAGAGATATCACTTAAATTAGGTTACTGGAGCTGAATTCAAATGTGTCTTCTACTGATTCAGCTGTCATAAAACCAATAACATTCAAAGAATACTGGTGAAATATTAGGTAGTGTTGGACAATATACAGTTTATACCAGTATATTAGTTTTGGTGTTGCACAACAATATTGATTTTTAGTTTTAACATAGTTGATACAAAAACCTGTAATGTACAGCACCTGCTGGGTGCTTCAGAGTGCTTTGAAAGAACAGTTTAAAATACATAAAAACTAAATGTTATGTCGGCTTTGGAAAACATTCTTTTAGCTTAGAGTACCAGTTCTCAGAAAGCATGGGTTTATTAACTTTATTAATGCAAACAAGGGCTGCGTGATGGATCAAATATTTGAAATGTATTTACAATATTTATTTTTAGATAAAAGATCACCATCATATACTTTAGATGTTAATATGCCTTTTATGCTCGTAGTTGAGTCTCCTGAAGTCCAAGGCAGTCATGTGAGCCCTCCTTGTATCGTGAGTATGGGTGTGCTAAGCCTCATTACAAAATTGGATATGTGTGTAAATAAGTCAGACAGTACAGTGTTCTGCACACAGGAGAGCAGCGTCCAATTCCTTGTTCAGGCAGTAATACAAACAAGACTCCTATCACTACATCTGTCTAAAATATTAAGCTGCTCTGGATAAGAGCATCTGATAGGAGAGATAAAGAGAGGGAGAGGGTGAAGATGAGAGACAGCATTCTTTCCAGTACAAAAGAAAAGATTTTATACAGTTTGATGTTCGTTTGGTGCAGGGGGGTCCAGCACAATCTGGTAGTTTCCCTACTCAAACACACCCATTAAACCTGGTTATTATCAGATGATATATATGTTGAGTGCGTATGTGTGTGTGTGTGTATGTATATATATATATATATATATATATATATATATACACACACAGAGAGAGAGAGAGAGAGGGAGAGAGGCAGAGAATGTGCAGAAAAACATTAGTTAGTCAATAATCTACTCTCGTCATCATATCTTCATCAGTATAATGTTGATTTTGTATTGTAGAATTAAACATAGAGCTGGACCTTTTTTTGGAGTCTGTGCATGACGTTATTATATATATATATAGACGTATGACGTCTGAAAAACTCCCTCAAAATCCAACCCAATACCTCTGACTTTTAAATTACTAGCTCTGGCTTTCCAGGGTGACTCACAGCAGCACACAGACACCATACTGTTTATTATTCTCTTGACTCAGTAATGCTACTTCTTTCAATAAAAAAAAAAAGTGATATAGTGCCGCTTTAAACACTGGTCTTATTAAGTACTCTGGTATTAAGTATCTCATGGCACTTGTGCTTTACCATAGACTCAGAATGTACTCCGACCTGCAATCATTATGGCATCAAATTCAACATGTGTGAATATTGAGCTTTAGACAAGCAGAGAGAGAGAGAGAGAGAGAGAGAGCTACTGAGAGTGAGAGTTGATTGTTGTGGCTGTTGACTAGGCTAACCTTAGGCAGAGAGGCTCTGGACCCTGAGCTCTGGGTGGTCATGGTGAGCACGGTGGTGATGCCCAGGCCTACACGAGCAGGGGCTGCGTCCATGTTGATCCAGAAGGACACCCATGACAAGATGACAATCAGCAGGCTGGGGATGTACATTTGAATCAGGTAATAACCCATCTGCCTCTCCAGATGGAAGCGAGCCTCGATGCACGTGAACTTCCCTGAAACACACAACATACAAATACAGTTCAAACTGGGCAAAGGGATTCCCTTTCTCATACATATATATATATATATATATATATATATATGACATCTGCACTTGTTATATATATTCATTATCTTACACAGCACTTTTTTTCATAAGACTCCTTATTTCTTCACATGGCATACAATATATTAAAATCCAACAAAGTAAGCACAGTAAACACAACCAAATGTGCAAGAATCACCAGGCTTTGGGTCTATTTAACTTTGCTTCCACCACTCACGCTACTGGAATTGTTAAGCCTCTGCATTTGTTATGAAGCTATAGTCAGTACAGCCTAGCAGCGCAGTATCACAATCACTTGTGTTCAATCAGCAAGATTATTCGTTTAGTTCATCTAATAATGCGCAGCATTAATAATGCACATTAAAATGTTCCATGCTAAACAGAGACAATGCTTTTGGTGTTTTTGTTTATAAGGCTAAGGCTACAGTCAGCACAACACAGCAAACAGAATGCTAAAAAATGATAATCACTGAGGATGTAAACAAGTATGTGAGCAGAAAGTGAGAAGATACAGTTGTGGCACTACAACAACTAGTGCAATGATTAAAATTACATCTACGGTCTAGCTTCTCCACAGGGACTCAGTGGGGGGTGTGGGATTAAAAGGCAACAAAGACAAGTAAACAGATTCCACAGCATAGGCCAGTAGGGACATGGCAAATCAAACCAGACTGCAGCTAATAAATCAGAAATAGGCAACAAATGAAAGGAGTAGTGAAGCAAAATATCAAATGTACACAGTTTACCCAGCACCTCAAATGTACGCAATCAGCCAAGACATGTTTGGTTTCTGACATCTGCTACTTTAGATCTGCTGCAAGGGTACAGGAGGAGCTACAAGTCTAACGTAGGTAAGAAGTAATAGTAGCCGGCCATTTTTATAGATAACAATACATCATACAGCATGGACACAGGAAGATGTTTTAAGCTGGATGCACTGAAATTTTAAGAAGCCTATGGGTAATGTACACCGTGGCATCATGCTAAATGTTTGATTTTTTTTCATTTGAATTGTTTGGACAGTTTACATGAAACAGAAGGTATCATAGCATTCTAGATTGTGGTGGGAAACGACAATGCAAACATACACATATGACCAACACAGCAACCGCTGATTCACTGTCTCTCCTCTGGACGAGTGGATGAACTTTATGCCAATGAGCTGAGCATCGTTCAGTCAGACTGTAGATGACAGGCACAGAACCACCTTGTGTCACGCCCTTAGTTAAGCTACACGTGCACATCTAGCAGGAGTGTTTATTATTACAGTGGTTTAAAAAATTGATGAGAGTAAAAGATAACTATGTTGACTGAAAATTTTGAGTTGGCAATATTTGGCACTGGCACAGAAATAGCCTAACCTGCTTGTGTTGTAACTCTAAATGCAGCATGAACTGTAACAGTGCACAGCTACTGCAGACTCTGAACATACATTAACAACTCAAAAATAAAAATACAAACTTTACACAAAGCACACTCTGGACATTGCTATGCTTAAAATATTTTCAAGTTCTGTGTGTTTTTAAGCAGTTACAGTTAAACAATACTGAAATCTGGGGAGTGCTGCAGCCCCCTCAGCCCCCCTTGCTTCACGCATCCTTGTCATACAGTGTCAGAAACGACATAATAAGGCTAAATGATTTGGACAAAATGTCTAATTGCTATTTTTCTGACCAATATCGTGAATGTGATATCTTAGCAACAGCATAGCAACAACCACTTATCAACTAAGCAACAAACAAGCAATGCCCCAAAGACAATTTGACAACCTTGTAGCAACAACATAGCAACTACCTGGAATGACTACAGAAACCAAAATATCAAAAAAAGGCAATAGTGTTTTGCAACTGCTCTAACATTTTAGCAATATCAGCTAGCTTTTTCAAGCCTTTTTCAAGCCTCACATTCATGAACTTTCACTTTTTAATGAATATTGTACTCATTCAAATTTCAATAACTGTGATAAAATTCTTTCAGCCCCACTACATAAGCAAACTTTTGCATCCAGTTGTAACATGCTATTCGAGATTAGTTGACGCCGGTGGTACAGCGACCTGGCGCTCTGCTTAAAATTCACAGTGATTTCAAACCAGACAGTGATTTTTTTTATTCCATGTAAAAAAAAAAAAATAAATAAAAAATCATGCCACGTCTCTATTAAAGACTATTTACCTACACAAAAAATATGCTGACATCAGCTTTACAGTACTCGAGTTCTATATCTTTTTGACTGATTGGACAGTCGGTTTTTCATGCCTGTCCATACTCTGACTACACACAAGGAGCAAGACAGGAAGAACGAAAAGAAAGGATGAGAGTAAGAGAGGACATCTGATCTCAGAGCGAACGTAGTCTGAACTTGTCCGCTCGCTCGGCTTATTCTAATCTGTTTCATTATGCGGGAGATGAAGCTTGCAGAGAGTGAGAGAGCGTAGCCAGCCTTCCAGCTTCAGCTCCTCACAGACAGGCAGGCAGACAGACGGACAGGTAGACAGATAGACAGATTCGCGCACACTCTCCGACAGCTAGCTCTATCACTTGAGTGGTGTCAAGCTGGGCCGAATTGCCTGGATTTTGTTTGGCGAATGGAAAATGTTTCAGATATGGTATTTGAATGGATAGACTGAAATATGGATTTGAACATTCAATTTATTTGATGTAGTGATGTCAAAGAGCATTTGTGAAATAAACTGCATGCTTTGCATAGTCCAAATATGGCTTATACAACTGATACAGCCATGTGTGACTGCATTTTACACATGAAAGGACGCAAGAATCGCCCAGATGACCTTCTTCTTCACACACACTCTACACCTCTTAATTTCTGAGGAGACAACAAAAGAGCCATGCTCCCCCTGTCCCTTCTGTTTTGGCCTGTTCTATTTTAGATCCTGACTAGATTGGCCTTCAGCCCTTTTTCCCACTTTATCTAGAGAGTAACAAATCCTGACTGGCGAGGATGACCGGACAGATGGTTTTCAGCCCAACTGAACGACCATGAAGGAGAAACAGAGCATAGCCGCAATGCTTCTACACTGCAGCCACACACTATTATCTGCTCAAAACACTCACTGTAACAAAGAATCATAATGTGTGTGCATGTGTATGGCTGTGTATGGCTTTGTGTTTGTGTTTCCTTGTGTGTGTGGAATTCTGTTTGTTTTTGTTTGTGTTTTGTTTTTTTAATAATCTTCCATCTCAGCATGAGTGTGCAGAGGTTTGTGTAGCTGTGTGTGTCTGTGTGTGTGTGTTAGGGCTGCGCCACATATTGTTTGTTAGTATCATTTTCTGATATTCTTGTGCAATTCTGATATTACGGACTGCAATATGCAAATGAGCCCCCTAACTAATCTGAAACAGTTATCTGACATTATTATGTTGATAATAAAAAATCGTCTACAAACATTTCCACTGTCAGCTTTTCGTGTATGTTTTCAAAGTGACATCCAGTTATGTCCAATTATGGTTGAAAGTTAAAAAGAAGTGAAGCCTGGAAGCATTTTCTTAAAATGAAGGATAAAGTAGTCACATAAAACAGGGTTTCTAAATCTTTTGGACGCACTGTCTGGTGGTGCATGGGGCCTACACTGAGGGGGAGCCAATGGTTCTTAAGTCAAAGTGGGATAGTAATGGCATTTTATGTCATAAACATTAGTGAAGAAATATTTGACAATTATAAGAAAGACATATGAAAAGTTTTCAAATGGAAACCAATATTAACACAAGACCTGCAGCTTCTTCTAATACATCTTTTATTGCCTCCCCTGAAATTTCACTCATCCACATGTTCCATATTGCTGTGCTTTCCAGCAGTTTTTTTCCAGCTACAACATTTAATATAGCCTAATGTTGTGATCAAGAAGGCACAGAGAAATATATTTAGCTTAATTTCATTTGCTTCCAAAAATTAGAACGAACAGTTGAATTAAAACTGATTGCTTAGTCAATATTATTTTTATTCATGATTATTTCACTATTTATTGTACTTTGTCATTTATTATTTTTAAGCTGCTGTCCAGGTCATAGTTCTCAGCTTTTCTCTGTCAGCACTTGAGAAATCATTTTTTTTGTGCATTCCCACCTGTGGGCCTCAAAATTTGCATAAGCACAGCGACAGCGTTACTTACAGCCAGCAGAAAACAAAACATGCTATTGTCGATTCTGAAGCAGCAGAATGGTGAGTAAACGGTACCTTTCCCTCCGTGTCGATGTTCTGACAAAGCAAACTACTCCCTAAGTATGTGCAGTTCGCACTGTTAGTGAATTGTCAGAGTGAGCTAATGTTACCCCTACATCACCGAAACTCACCATGTTACATTACTAACATCTGGAATATTCTAAGCCATATCAGTTTTGGTTAATGAAAAGCATTTAACAGCTACTTCAAAAACTATTGACCATTCATCAGCTCTTCCTGTCACTCTGTTACATTCACTAGCTAGCTGTCTATGTTTAATTAGCTTCAAAAATAACTCATTTTAGAAACAGTTTTCACTAGGCTTGGGCGATAATGTAAATTTAGACAAACAATTATCGTCTCCAGAATTATCGCGATAAACGATATTATCGTGTTAAAAATTAATTTACGAAGACAACCCAAGTGAGTAGGTGCATCTCAGTGGAACAGCAAAGGAGAATTATAGCAGTGAATCTTAATTCTGGAAAAAACAGTTATGTTAGAAGAAATAATAATAATTATTAATATTATTATGATTATAGTCTTTAACAACCTAGATTGTTTCATACACAATTAACATTATTATACATCTCAGGCACCACTGTCTTGCTGAAGTACTTATGGCTTGGCAGCTCGTACTGTGAAGTACTTACTGTTTTGCCGCCTTTGGTGATGATCGGTTTTCTGCATAGACGTCATGTAACACTTAACATCTAATGGTTCTCTGTGTTCGTCTGGTTGGAAACCAAAATATTGCCAAACGGGCGCGGTAGCACCCTTCTTCTGTACAAGCTAATCTATTTTTCACCATCTAGGGAGAAAGTCACATGTAGCGGAGTGTTTCATTCGCATATACCCAGCATTCTTTGCCAGACTGAAACGCTACATTCTAATCTTTTCAAGTGGCATTTTAAAAATGTATATTTGTAGTTGATTAGTTATGTTTGCATGGTCTATACTTAAATGCCATTCTTTCTGTTATTGCATAGGTCTAAAATTTTAACCTACCATAGAATACTTGTACAAAGTCAATGGTTAAATATAAAGAATGACCAAAATAGAGAAAAGTCACATGGCAAGGGTACATGATAAAAAATAAGACGATAATTTACTTAATATCATGACTGGTTGAAATTATCGTGATATTCGATAATATCGTTTGTCACCCCAAGGCTAGTTTTCACATGAAAAAATGCCATCCGCTCATTCTGGAAACCTGTTAATCTATGTATGTAACCTACATAGTTATTATATCACTTATTTTAGCTACTACATAGTTCTTACTGTAGCTCAAAATTATGGGAGGCTTAAACAAAGCTCCATATTTTTTCCCATGGTAGCGATACAGCTCTTGGTGAAGAGTACCTCAGTTTGCTAGAACATCGGCAAACATTTCATTGTTACAGCTCTTTATATTTATACACCACATTCAAGCTGATTAATCTATTATTGGTCTATTATTATTAGTTTTTTGCAGCCCTACTGCAGTCACACTTCTAAATGTTTCTGTACATGAGGTAATGAGTGTAGGTCAGTAATGTCAAAGTAAACATGAATAACTATCTAAATGCAATAATAACGGTACTAATGTTTTTAATGCATTTTCCTAGTTTGTTCCTTCAAATCAACTGCTTGCGTGCTGTATGTTTCTGTGACTGACTCTGTCACTGTAGCCCCCTCATCCAAATACAGCTTTTAAACAGTAGCAAGCAGAAAGTAACGCTGTGCTTCTGTCATATATCAGGGGTTCTCAACCATTTCCACCGCAAGGCCCACCTATGTATCACTAGAGAGCATGAAGGCCCACACTCACTGCTGAATCATGTAGACTTACTTTACACCATAATGTCAGGAACTATATAAAATCCATGCTGAACTTGCAGCCAGCAGAAGACAGTGATATAATGCATGTAGTGCTGACTCTCTGCTGGCCAATGTACCTGCAAATAACCTACATTTTCTTGCTGGCTGTGTTTACTGCAAAGTTCATGAGCAACTCTAATCTAACAGAATGTACTGGTAAACTGTGTTCATCCTGTTTTGTACTCATACAGCTAGAACAAAATGCACTGCTTTTTAAATGAAAAAAAAGAGCTTTCTTTAGGGTCAAATTTGAGGAAATAGGACAAATGCAAATAATCGCATTTAACTACACAACAACATGTGATTTATCACAGTTAATTACTTTAATCAGTTGACAGCCCTAATGCAATATTCATGTCATCAAACAAAAGTGAATTAATAATGCAGACTAACTATATTGCAGCATTTGGCTGAACAGTACATTTTTAACACACTGCAAGGCAAAACAATTGCAATACAAAGCAATTTAATCACAGCACCATTATATGCCTATATAGTTCAGCCCTAGTGTTTCTGTATGTTGGGGGCTGTGCTGGTTCTGCACTCCAGAAATGGCAGGGGAGGCTCACATGCACAATCTCAGCATGTGTGTGCAAGCAGCTGACCTGTGTTGTAGTGCTTGGTGCAGTAGCGCAGGTCCTTCTCCTCCTTCAGAATAAACTGGGGTAACGTCAGTCCGTCAGCCACCTGCACTGCCCCCTTCTCATCCCACTCGAATATCAGATCATTCATCGTGTAGCCAACTGTTAGAAAAGAGAGGCAAGTTGAAGCTGGGCAATGTGACATCACCATGCTTGATTTAAGAAGGTAGAGAAAGGAAGATCATAAAATTGGTTAAAATTAATATACTGCATAATGGGCTGACATCCAGTTACTTTTTACTGTACTCTTTATGCCGTTACTATACATTGGTAGTTGCTGTTTACAGGCTCTCTGTAATTAGGTTTTAAGGCCAGCCTTCATTTATTTAATTTCTATTCAAAGCAGCCATTTTTCAGTGTCGTGGAAAAACGCAGAAAACATATATTTAACAGATAATTATACAGAAGCCTCAACAACTAAACAAAATGTATTTTTTTCAGTATTTACTGTGTTCACCTTTGCCTTTATTACAGCATCCATTCTTTTCAGGAAACTTACTTTCAGTTCAGAGAAATCTACAAGGATATTTTTCAGGGAAGTTCGGTCTTAGAAGTTGGTTGCATTTTCTACTTCTTACAATCCAAATAATCCCAAATGCATTCAGTGATTTTGAGGTCTGGACTCTGGGGAGGTCAGTTCATTGTTTTGAGATCTCCAGTAGCTTTTTTTTTTATTTCATTTTTTAATCACAGATTTTTAACTGCTACACATCCTTTCAGACCCATAGTGTTGAGTTGTCTTCTCACTGGGGAAGGACAGGAACTTCTGTGGATTTTTCAGACCTGAAGCAGGAGCTTGATTTTCTCCTCATTTTCCTCAAAGATGAAAGGTTTATGCACTGTTTATCTGATGGTGACAGTTTTGGTGGTCTACCTGGTCTTGTGCAGTGTTAGGAATTCCATTTCCCAATGTCATTTAATAATTTTTGAATTCTGGTTTTGGAAACTCCTTTATTTTCCACTGACTTTACCATTCCTTAATCAAGAGGATTATGTTACATCTAATCAGAAATATCTTCTTTTGGTAAAATTATGGCCATTTTGACTGGAAATGAAATAACTGAAGAACGGTCTCTGATTTTGCACAGTAATGCATACAGTCAGTACCTATAGCATACTATAGGAAAAGTGCACTGTGCCACAGTTTATCCCGAGAATGATTACATTTGTCATACTGCCCTCCCATAAAGCAAATACAGTGTGTTAACACTCAAGAGTAAAGGTGAATCTTATAATCTGGAATGATTAAAGCTCATAAAGGAGAAAACAGGCATCACATAACCAATCACACTGAACAACTTCTGACATCGGTTTCTCGCACTAAGCACCGGATTGCTTGAATCTGCCGCACCCCTGAGAACAATAACTAAATAAAAATCTATAAGTGCACGGGCAGGAGCAGCCAGTAGCCTGAGCTTGCAGCATTTCCCCACTGACTGCTGGATCTACTTGAAGGCAGGACTTAAATCACTGTGCTCTTCATCTCTTCCTACGAGCCAGCAAAGCATCCGTCTCTGAGCCAGTGAATAAATCCTGGCTGGCTGGTCGTGAGGAGCAGGGCGTACTTACAGCTCTCCAGCTGCATTATACAGGTCTGCACATCCATAGGAAAATTCTTCAGGTCCATAGGGCAGGCCAGAACCAGTGTTATCCTGTTAATAACAAGAACATCACAGCTAAACTACAAAAAGCAAATTCAATATCAATCATCTTCTCGCAACAAGTCAGAATCTACACAATAAAATACTGAAAAAAATTCTGAAAAAAATTAAAGAAATGGTGAAAATCAAACTAGCAAAATTCTCCACTTACTTCAAAAGAAGTCCATCAGTTAAGACATGTTTGGTCTCCAAATCTTGCTTCTTTAGTTTAGAGCTGAAGCGTTACTAACAAACACTAGAAGTCAGTAGTCACCCAAATCTTTTGTTAATACAAACTTCTCTCAAACTAATCAAAGTCTTCAGTAAGGTTGTTTAAAATTGTTGATGTGGTTTAGAGCACAGTATGATATATGAAAATGAACAAAACCTCACTGTGTAGGCAGCCACTTCAGGCAACAGGTGTTGTGCCTACTCACTTACACAGGTATATGGGCACTAGAGATTACATTCGAGATTTCTGTTGTTTCTTTTTATAAATAACTATTAATCTTGATTTTTTTAACTTAAGATAGAAGTTTATGAATAGAAACAACAGAAGTGAAAGTGGTGAAAGTAATCTGTAGTCTCCTTATGCCTGCATGACACGGGCACATACAATGGAGAGTTAGAATACGGCACAACACCTGTTATCTATAAAGGCTGCATGCTGCATACAGCTACACAGTGCAGATTTGTTCATTTTTATAGCTTACAGGACGTCACATTGTGTCCTAAACCACTCTGACTAGTCTGCATGGCCTGGACATGGTTTGAGAAGCTTGAGAGAAGTTTTGGGGATATATGTCCAGAAAAGATATGGGTGACTATTGACCTCTAGTGTTTGTTTGTAATGTCATCCTCCGGCATTTTAGAAGCAAAATTTGCATAGCAAACATTTCTTAGCTGATTGACTACATCTGGTTTAAATGTTTTTTATGTATATTATTATTTTTTTTACCAAACTTAATAATGACGACTTTTACAGATCCCAATGAACCATTTCAAGAAATGAGAAAAGCACAGTACAAAACGTGACAAAGCAAAATCAAATCACCATAAAACATCCTCTTCTACTTAAATATGAATGGGTTATGTTTTGAAAGTCCACACTTTTAAGAGTATTGCTTATTTCAGTGAGCTGTGAGTGAGAAATAACTAGTATCAAATAACAACATCCTTTTGTTATTGCAGCTTCTCAGTGTTAAGCATAAGCCGAGGCTTATTTAAAACGCAGTCTTTCTTCCAACATCTAGTTTTGGCGCAGAAATGAGTCTGAGGCAGTGCACTTCACAAATATACTGTTCCGTCCATCTTGTGATAGCATCACCACGGCAGGATAACAGTTATTTACCAGCGATTTTCAATCAAAGTGTACCGCGACTGGCGCAATTTAAAGTTCACAGCCAAGACCAAACTGAACTGAAGGGTTCATTTGATGGTGTCAAGTTAAGAGATGAGGAAGCTCTAGACTCTACACAAAGCTATTCATTACACTCCTGTCCTCCAAGCCCTGTTTAACACTGTGCTGCAGGACAGATGAGATCTAAAATCAATTTGGAAATTGGAATTGACTGTTTGCTGTTTTTAGAAATGCATAGGCTATTATCTATTTTGTCTGAGCTTTATCACAAAAAATGAAACACTATAAAAGAAAAAAGCCTCAAGTGATACAACCTAAATAAACAATTCATCTCATTATGTAAATCAGGCTTTCTAATACAACACTTTTCACCTTATGCTATATAACACGTTCCCGTTCTTGGAGATCCGCAGTAGCTTGTTGTCGGTGGTGACCTCGTGGAAATTGGCTCCTTTTTCATTGGCGAAGAAGAGATCAGGCTTCCAAATGGAGTCCAACATGGAGGGGTCCAGGTCGAGCGAGTCGTCGGGGTATTCGCTGTAGGCCAGCCGCGGGTCATTCCACTGCTGTCTTAGGAAAATGTTCACTCTGTAATCCTGTGACACATAAGCGCAGCAATGTCAACAGAACAAAGGTGAGAGGAGCACAGCATGTCCTCCACATGCTCTCTGCTAGCATCAGCACTGCCAGTCTACGCTGCTGCTTTTCAGCACAATCTACCCATATAGTAAGGCTGCACTATATAGACAAAATACTATTTTACTATTTATATTTATACTGCTAAATATTGCAATATGCCATGCAATATATTAAAAACTGAGGTGAATCCTCTTTTTAAAATGGTTAAAGATTTGTCTACATTATTCAGACCAAAACAAAGGTTAAAAACAAATGGGTCTTGGCTTGGATGTATGGTTCTAGGAAAACACCTTCAAATAAAGATAGTGTTGTAGTACTCAATTCTCAGGTCTTGTGGTCTTGAGAACACAAATTAATGATCTCATTCTTGTCTTGGTCTCAACAGTAATTTTACTCTGTCTTTAGCTCAATTTTATTTAATATTATCATCATACTTTTATTTCAACTCTAAGAGCAGTAAGATTCTTATTAAGTGTTGGTTAGAAAAGCTCAAGATCCTGAAACGCTTAATGGAAAACCGTCCAGTCAGGGTTTTTTGTCCTGTAGTATCTAGGTAGATACAGCTCTCTCACTGGTTACAGCTTCAGGAGCTAGACAGAAGGCCTTACACATTACCATAATATAGCACACTATGCCTATGAAACGTCCAGATATATTTAGCAAGTGACAGTGGAATCAACCGAACATGTTTTGAATCCCAATGGGTCACTGTCACTATGCTTCCTGGGAGTCCTAGATACATAACTGATTGTCAATACAAGTAGTAATTAGGGGTTTCAGTCAAATGTTACCAGTGAAAAACAGCAGAAAAGGCTCTACACCAGGACTGGTTTCTGAGGGAGTCACTGTAAAAGTGCAACATACATGGTCAAACATATGGAAATGTCTGTTGCAAGACTTAAATAAAAATGTCTTCTTTTACAAGCTTCAAATGTCCCTGTTCAATCTAGAACTGCCAAAAAATGTTCATGTAAACCAATGTTAGCTTAGCACTAACATACTATAGAAATCTTACAGGGGAACTAGCATCGTTGTAGTGCACTGTTGTAGCATTATCATAGATTTGAAGATTTATGGTCTGAACTAAAAGCCTAGCTCTAATAGTTGTGGTTTGCCACTGCATTAAGAACATTAAGATCAAGAAGAAGGGACAAATATATTTTAAACATATCATGATCTCCTTCTAGAGGTTAGATTGGTTTATATTATCATTACTATTATTATTATTACTACTACATAATTTTATATTCTTATATAACTGACCACAATTTCTTTTTTACTCATGTATTTATTTTGTTGTTACATTCTTTAAAAAACTGTTGATCTGGTCTTGAACTTGTCTCTCAGCTGCTACAAAGTTTGGAATCTGACCCTATTTGTCCAAGTCTCGGTCATGATTTTAAACTTAAAAAGATGTTAAACTTTAAAAAGGTACTTCATATTTATACACGTACATCTCATTTAAAAAACAGTTCTTTCAAGAATCATCCACTGTAAGGTTCTTTAGGGAACCAAATGTTCATTCCAAAAAACCCTTTTTTGGCATTTTATTTTAAAAGCATATTTGTGTCTGCTGGACTGTGGGAATGTATTCATTCACCCACAGAAACTCATCCAGAGCTATGATTCAGAATGCTCACAGCACACAAACTAATTCTTGTGTCTGAGCAGATCTGCATACTGCAGCCTTTCTGTGATCAGTATGACAAAAGCCAATGTTATTATGATTAACAAACAATACATAGTGCAGTTCCATCATTTGGCTAAATGTGATTTGAATGCATCAGTGCGTTTCTTTCCAAATATAATTTAGAATAATCGATATTTGTGAAGACAGGCTGGCAAAATGTGAGCTGTGTAAAAACCGACCCCATAAAAGCAGCAGCAGTTCACTCCCAAAATCGTGACTGCCAGTCGTGACTGTGAGCTCCTCTGAAAAACAGTCATGCAGTTCTATCATTTCTGGGAGATCATTAAACTGTCTGGGCAGTAACGCACCTCTGGGTGACTTATCAGCGCAGGAGGAAATATACCAGGTGACCTTTGTGATGGCAATCAGCCACAACATTCCAGGGCAATTATATTAATGTGAGGTGACCCTTTAGTCCGGCAAATTACAAAATATTTTGACGGAGGAGAATCATCTGTTTCAGGTTATTAGATTTACGTCTCGGAAAGAACAATCGCTACAGCACAGTCGGAGTAGCAGTCTTTATTGATTTCACCATGTCAATATTTTTCCCTTATAATAAACAACCCACGCCCGCTGTAAAATAACAATCAACTTCTATATAATAAATATACAGAATATGTCCACTGGAAAAACAGCAGTGCAGCACGGCAAGCTAGTGGTGCACATTTCCTATAATGTTATGGCCTCAGGTGATTTCTCAGGTGCTCGGCTCGCCTGCGCTATTGTCCGTATTGTTTTAGGAGCATGCTAGATTACCACGAGCTTCACAGTCCGCTGTAAATCGTTCTCTCTAGTCAACTATGGTTATCTGACATTCATTACTGCAGCCAATCTTTGGACAGAGAACAGTGTGCCTAAAGCGAAAGGCTACCCTTCAAAGGCATAGCTATTTTCCAACAGAATGATCTAGCAAACAAGCAGAGAGTGGGCACACATTCATCAGCACAAACTAAAGGGGAAAGTAAAAAAAAAGACTTCATATTTCCCTCTATGATTTCTCCAGGCTAAAGAGACTGATTTATGACAACAGCCCACACATAATGTGATTCAAGCCCAAGGCCAGATCCCTTCCTGACGGTGACATATTAGAAAAAGTTTGGCTGTTCGCACGAGTCTGCCATGACTAACTCCGCAAACAAATGGCAGACTTTCTTGGATTTATGTGCTCGCTCTCTAACCTCCTCTAGAAAATGAAGAGCCGGTGAGCTAATTAAATAGCCACTCACCACTCCCCTGGGCATCGTACCTTCAAAACGGCGTAAACAATTAGGACAGGCGTGGTCCAGGGGGGATTGCTGGTCCCAGCAGTGGCCGGAGCTGGGCGGATCATTACGGCATGAAAGATTGTTCTCAGCAAGCTTATAAGCACTAAAGATTTATTGACGTCATTCTGGTTGCGAGCGCCTCACCCCAGTCCTTTGGCCAGCCTCTCACGGGTCTGAACGTGAGTGCCGGCCACTCGGATCAATTCCACTAGCTGTGGCGGAGAAAAGGAGTGGAAAATGCTGCATTTGTTCTGCATGAGCTGCTCCTGCAGGCCACAGCAGTTTCTGGGCTGCTCAGTAGCAGGGTTTGGCGTCTGAGATTCTTGTATAGGCCTCCTGGAGAACATTTGAAAGGACTGTGAAGTGCTCGTAATAGGGTGTGAATAGATATCAGCAGGCGTGCTTCATCACCTCCCATTGTACCCTTAAGTAATATAGGGTGTTCTGTGTACAGTTTATCCGACAACCTAGCAGGGGAAGTTGTCGGACTGCGTGTGAATCAAAAGCGCGGGCGTTTTAGGGCAATGCCGAGTCAGCTCTTGCATGTATGAGTGTGAAAACGCACTCACACACTATGCGTGCTTAATCAAACATTCAATAAAACAGCAATGTGACACCACAGCCTATAGGCAAAGGCTTTCAAAGGCATTCAGGCTGCTGCCAGAATCCTTTCTGCATTTCCTTTAGAACTCGGGCAAAATGTATGCCATGGAATAACTAATTCCTGCTAAGAAAGAACTTCAGAATTGGTTTTTACAGTGCTGTGCAAAAGTCAGAGACCACCCTTCATTTATTTTATTTCCAATCAAAACTATGAAGTTATTAAGTAGAAGTTACTCATTTTATTTTTCTTGATATTTCTCAGAAGATATAGTCAAAGGAAAATAAGCTAAATGGGTGAAAAAGGCAAAAAAAAGCAGGAGTTTCCAAAACTGAAGTTAATAAAAATTCTTAAAAGTTGGGACCCTTAACAACCGTGCAACACCTGGTAGACACCACAACTGTTCCTCTCAGATAAACAGTACTTAAAGCTTTCAACTTTGACAGAGAGGAGAAAATCAAGCTCCACCATTACTCGTGTTTCTGTCCATCCTTCCACTGTGAGAAGACAACTCAATGCTATGGGTCTGAAAGGATATGAAGCTGTCAAGAAGCTGTTACTGGACAAAAGAAATAGATAAAAAAGAAGAAAATTTGCACTAGAATACTAAAACGACATTTGAAATGAGGAGTAACGTTAAGGGATTACTTGGATCATGAGAAGCAGAAAATACAATCAACTTCTAAGACTGAACTGAACATATTCCTGCAGATTTCTTTGAAAAACTGAAAGCAGAGTTGAGGCTTTTGCATATTACATAATTAAATGATTTCTTAGTTCAGTTATAACATGAAATTGTTATGAATACACTGCCTAAGCAGGTTATTATAGTTCTTAAATTTTCATTAGCTTTCTTTTTATATTATAATTTTTTGACTGCTATTTTTTGTTGTATTAATAGTTTTATTTAATTATAATATCTGTATTACAATAGTTTTGAAATAGTTTTGGCCTAAAATGTATTTTAAAAATCTGTTCTTGGTGGAGAAGTACATGCTGGGGTTGTGAGATAAAATACTCCCAAAGGAAAATAGATTTTTTCAGATGTTCCACTATTCTACCATCATCAACATTACATATAAAAACTCATGTCAGAAGTCACTGGTGGTTTTGGATGGTAAATATATTGTATTTGTGTTGTAGGCAAGGCTACTCCTGGTTTCTATCACCACCACTGTAAAGACATCAGAGTAAGTTTCTCTACAATGAACCATTTCACATTAGACCACTGTGAATGATTTCATTTACATCTCAATGATTTAATTATACAGACATTTGGAAAATGGCAAATTTGGCTGGAAATTAAATGGAAAAATGGAAGATGTAGGGTTGTTCAATTTACAAATATGCAGTTTGCAAATATGCAGAACTGACTTAGATTTCTCTTCTGAACATGTTTAAATCTTGTAATTCTGCTAGTCTCAGTCATGTTAAGAAGAATAAAAGTAGCTGTTTTATCCCAGCTCCTTGATACAGTCTCCAACAGACACTGTGAAATTATACATACAGCATACTACACATCTTTTCCCTCGTTTTGGAAGCTTTACTGTGAATCTGGACAGCACTTTACATGGTGAAGGTAACTGAAACCTATTAAATGTCAGTCAGAGTTAGAGGTAGTCTGTTTACATGCCATGTTTTAACAAGTTTAGCTTCTTATTTGCTGGTGATGTCGAGCAAAACAAAGTCAATCTCAATGCTAACATTAACTGTTATTCACTAGCTATGCTAATGTTAGCAGTCTTTAAATATCTTTTAAATATCATTGTGCAGGCTGGCAGATGAAGCCCTCATCCAGGGATCCACTGAGGAGACCACAGTGGGAATATATATATTTTCAAACAAAGAGATGCCAGTGATCAACCAGACCTTGACCTTAATGTGTGCTTTGAACCTAAACTACCCTCCTGAACTCAAGTACACCTTCAAAGTGCTTTAGAAGGTTGTCATGGAGCTGGAACTCTCCAACACACTCTCCAAGGAAGCCCAAGTCCTTAAAAACAGATTTTATCAGTGAACCCGTCTTGGGATAAAGTCATGTTTAATGGATAATATGCTTTACATTAAAGAAAAGCTTTAAATTAATATCAAAACGTTATGTTGATTTAACAAATGAAAATTTAGTGTGTAGAACATGATAACATCATTTTAAGTAAACCTAACTTTTATTTATGCAACCGATGTACGATTATTTTTTTTCAGTGAAGGGTGGTCTCTTGACTTTGCACAGTACTGTATTACGTTTTACATGCAAGTGAATAAATATGAGACTCACCATTGTTGTTTCAGCAATGGATCCAAAACTGTTAATAAAAATGTTGCATGTTACGTTCACAGGGGGGCCTGTGGAAAAAAAGCAAAAAGGACGTATTAACCAGGCAGGATGTAATACTGGTCAAGCTAACAATAACAAATTAACCCCATATACTCAGTTAAACTTTATGCAGCATTTGATATCAGAAGTTTACAATTCAGAACTTACCTGCTTGTTTCTTTTGACGCTTAAGACATGCAAAAGTCAATTTCAATACCATTAACATCCTAAACTACAGACTACAGTCATTAACCTTGAAATACATAACTGACCAAGGTGACACTGGCTAAAGGTATTTTCCCTAAAAATAAAGACAGTCTGTTGTCAGATAAGGAAAGATACTTTGTGAACAGACAAGCTAAAATAAATTCCTCTCAGAGGACAGCCTCAAGGTTAGAGACAATAATGCAACGTTGAGGTGACCCTCCTCAGTGGGCCGGAATACCTGCTAGTACAAGTATTAATAAGATTAGACCATGGCATGAACAGACTTTCAATGAAACCTGAGAGGGCATTGCTGTAAACAAGCCAGCCATTATTCTTTACGCGAGTTGTGAGGTCCATGTCTATTGTATGATTGCCAAGATGCTTTAATATCAAAGGTCTTTCAAGGAGACAGAAGTGCTAAAGTGTATAACAGAATCCCTATGTTTGCAACAGAAGAATGAAAAGTAAAGACGCCATCACCTCTGTATTGCGGTATAAAACGGAGAGGGGATATTCAAAGTGACGCAGCGCTCACAACCTCATAAATACTCTGTCAAACTGCTCCACGCTTCCAATACGGTCACGCACAGGCCTGCTAAACAGCCTGTTGAAAATGCAACTCCGTTTCTGCCCACAGTCCAAAGCCATAGAGCATTTCACAGTGCTGAATAGGTAGATTATCAGTGCAGTTTTAATCACTTTTAGGCTTGCAAATTTCCTCTACGATATAAAAGTATATACCCAGTGGACCTTTTTATCTTGGTATGCAGCCTGAAGTTTTGCATTATAAGAAAAAAAATGAAACAAATCAGGCTTAATTGTACAAGACACCAGGGTTATTTCCAAAAAAATGGTGTGAATCAGCATCAGCATGTTGTAAAAGAATAGTCCAGTGTTTTTCAGTCTAATCTCTGTAGAAGGCCATTAGAGCTAGGCATATTTGCATGAACTCAGCAGGACAAATAACGTGCTGGTGCATCGTTCACTGAGGAGAAAAGACCTTGTTCAGAAGACAACAGAGCCTCATTGGCATCCAACACCATACCGACACTGTCTGCTTCATTTACTCCTCCAACATGAACACCTACCAGTTTCCCATTGCTAATGTTAAATAATAAAAACATTTTCAATTTTTTTATTATTCAAATTTTGAATAATAAAACGTGTTTTCAAATTCACACCTTCTCATGTTGTGGACAGAATATAGCAACAAGGTCCACAGGACCAATGCCTGTGATAAAATGGATGCCAGGTAAATAATGCAGTTCAGTTCAGGAAAGTACAGTTTATTGCAGTCAAAAGAACATTTATATTTTATTTGTTAGGCCAAAAAGATATTTTTATGTTACATATAATATGTTTGTTTTAGGATTAAACAGATGAAGCCTAACAACATACTATATCACTGCACATCATGAGTATGTACAGTATGAAAAGTTTATCCAGACTAAACAACGTTTGAGATGTTTGTGAAAGCAAAGTGGAATTCTAACTTCATCCTGGACAGACTATATTATGATGTCATTATTTTATAGTCTTTTTTATTACATTTATATAGGATCTAATGATAGCCATTATTGTTGCTACATGCTAATTTAAGTGGCACTATCATTAAAATCAAAAGGCTTTGGGAATGATGATGGGCCAGTTCAGGTCAGTTTTGTAAAGAATTTTGTTGAGCTTGAGTCAGTTTTGGACTCGATGGTATGGTCTGGGTCGGGTCACGTTCGGACAAAATTTTGCTGGGCTCAGTTCAGGTTGAGACGCAAAACTTGATGATTGGGGTTGTGGACAGGAAGTTCTCAGGCTGTGTTCAAGTTCAGAATCAGGCCCGATTTAAGTTCTAACGACAATGGTCAGTTGCTTTAAATACATGTATAAAAGAAACCAATGAGCAAGTGCTAAAGCAACCTCCCAGTGGTTTCTATTAGAAGTGTGTTTTGAGCCAATAGGTTTTCTGTTGTTCTTTAAGTTCAGGGAAACATGCTGAAATTCTGGTCTGGGTGAATCGACCAAACTCCACAAATGTGTCAGATAGAGATCAGGTTGAAAACTACTAGAGTATTCCTTTAAGGCCACTCTGGTCTATATGTGCACTGGGTGGCTTCTTATCCTTACGCTGCTGGTGTTCTCTCTCCACTGGGTAACACTTTGCTTGGAATAATTTGTCTGGTCTTGACATTCCTGGCTGCATGTGACGCAGTGCTATAGGGAGATGTAGCGTCCTCGCTGCCGCTGCAGTTCATTTGCCGGCCCCTCCAATGAGCAGAAGGGAAAGGGAGAGTGCTCATTAACTGTCAGGCCGGGTGACTCATTGCCCAGAATGATTTGCTTTACCAGGCTTTTGCCAAATGATCTGCTGGGCCCTGCAAACAAAGCACTCCTGAACACAACACGCTGAGAAAGGGCCGCAACAGCCGGCTCAAGTCGACTTTTCTTTTCTTTTTTTTGCTCCGTGTTAGCGAATCAAATGCTCGTTTCAGCGCCATACCACCCCACACATTCTGTGCACAAAATGAAGTAGTTAAGAAGCGTCACACGTTTCACTGCGCTTCTGTATATTGCGCCATCATAAACATGACACAATCCCACCCCGATAGGGCTGCGCTGTCGCCCCCCACTGCCTCCCCTCCTTGGGAAAGAGCCAATCCAAAAGAGGGTGGCTTCTCGAAGCTTCTTCAATGGCAGCTACCAGTAAGCTGAGACAATTCTGTTCTTAAAAAGCTGAATGAAGACATTCGCAGATTCATTACTGGGATTATTTTTGTCACTTACGGGCAATAGATCACTTTTCCAGCTTCCCCCTGGGTGAATATAACCTTCATGGGCTGCAGACAAATTACAGGTTTGCCCACAGATGCAAATGCAGAGGAGAGTGCAGCGAGCCTGGAGAGCAATTCACCATTTTATTAACCAACGCTGCAACTCAGCATGATGACTCGTTTATAGCTGCTTTCAGACCACAATGTCTCAGCCAAGTCATCAGTAGCTCTGTTGGCAGCAGAGAACTTTGAGAATGATGTCAAACCAAATCAAGGCATTGATTTAAAGGGACCATATAACGAAAAACTGAATTTTCTTTGCTGAAGACACTGATGTAGTATGTAAACACTGTTAAAGTTTCAACATGTACCATTCACCGTCTGGTCTACATGGTCCATATATGGGAATTAAGCTGTTAAAATAGGCCATTTGGAATTTATTGTTTTTGTGATGTCATATTGTGTGATGTTATAACTGTTAATTTCATCAGTGTAGGCACCTTAACTATCACCTTTTTATCTCAAAATCTACATTATACTGTATGATAAAACAGTACCACTTACAACAAAACTACCTAAAGGGTTTATGAATGGTTTAAAATGTTTATTTATGGTTAATTAGGTCATAAACACACTAAAACCATTAATAAGAAGTTATAACACATTTAAAACTGGCCAGCAGTGACCTGTCATGTCTGAAGAATATGAATATCTGATGAAGCTGACAGGTTTGATGCTGACTGATGAAGAAGAGAAAGTAAGATAAATAAGCAACAAGAGGTTTAACAGTAAAAATAAATGTGGGCTCATGATTCTGGCAAGCAACAGGTCGCTTTTTTCCCCATTTATTTATGTGTTATATGGTGTTTATCATCTAATAAATAACCATTAATAAAGTAACTTTACACCATTCATATGTATTTGCTGGTGTGAAGCACTACAGAACTCGAAAAGCCTTCCTGCACAGAGTCAGGCTTTGTTCAGAGGGGCTTTAATTTTGCCACGCTACAGCACCTTGTAGAGAAACACATTTTATTTCATGTTCGCAAACTTGCAGTCTCCTTAAACAAACAAGTTTGCCTGTAATACAATCATTCTTAATCATTAGCTGTATTTTAGACTGACTGTGTCTAAGAAACAGTATTAATGGTGGATTAGTCACATCTTGCCGATACATGTTTCGCTTAATAAGGTCAGTACAAATGCCAGTACTGATCCAGTGCACTAACATTTACATATATCAATCCAGCCCTCAGTAGTTTAGCTCCACCCTTCAAACTGAAGTTATAAAGACTGTTTCAGCCTGGATTTTTGAACGAAGCACAATAAAGGCAGCCAATCACAACAGAGCTCATCCACATATTAGTTTTAAAGGCACAGTACCTTTAAAAAACAGCTTGTTTAATTCTAAAGCATAAAAAAAGGTTGGGGAAATGTTCATAATGGTCATAAAGCTGCACAATGTGAGTTGTGTGGGGAAGAATGTAGAATACGGGCCCTTTAAAGTCAGTTATCTAAGAGAACACTGTGTCTAAAGTGGTGTCCCCACATGACACCCCTCGAAAAAGCAAAGGGAACAAATTTATTACAATCAACAGCCACTCAAGATGCCTCCCTGATAAGTAGAGTGCCCCTGATGAAAATGCACCGTATAAATAAAGAAATTTTAATGATATTGCTTAGGCTAAAAATCCAGCTGCTCTCAGCAGAAACACAATGGCCAGGCCACATTAAATATTCATATCGCTTAGGCTGTACCTATAAGGTGTTGGCACGGCAACTTCACTTTTTATTGCACTAATATACAATATATTGCCCTCACACATAGACAAGTAGAGCACTACTCGCTCTGCCCTCTGTGAAGAAGAGGAGAAAGTGCTCTTCAGTCTCCTCCTCTACAAGTGCACAGTGCTGTATGTCAACAGTGGGGTAAATGTCAAGAGCCCTTTGCTGCTCTTCATGCATAAACGTCTGAGCTGACTCACAGTGTGTCTACTGGCACAGAGCGTTTTTCAATTTGCACCTCAATATAGAAGCTACTGCGATATAGAAAAAAAGAT